ACCAAATCCTGATTAATTGACACAGACAAACCTTTTGGAATGAACTTCTGGATCCTGTGTTTAAATGTGCACATCACATCATTTACTGTGAGGCAGCTCAACCGTCTTCAATGTAGTTTTCGCGCCTACTTTAATGTCCAATTAAAGTAGATGAAATCCAATTAGAGTCACAAATTAGAGTTGCAAACTCAGTTGCGTAGTGTCATCGCATATGACCCAAGAACAAGACACTGGCGCAACGTCGCTCCCATGTTACACCCTCGCGAAAACTTCGGGATTGCAGTGCTGGAGGACCAGCTGTATGTGGTTGGAGGTTTCCACAATGGCGGCTTATTCTGCAATGTGGAGTGCTATGATGAAAAGACCAACAGGTGGTACATTGTCAGCGACAAAGGGATGACCCAAGGTGCTGTCCGTTGTTGCGTTCTGAAGCGACACCCCGATCTGACTGCTTATCTTTCATAATTATTTCACATAAAGAAATAAAGAAATACATTTTTTTATCAATAAAAAACTGGCTGTTTTTCTGCTTAAGATCCTGAGCTCTGACATCCCAGTGAAAAAGTCTCTTTTAGCTGAACAGAGAACTTGAACTTTCTTTTCAACATGATGGGCATTGCAGCTTCCACATTTTATGGCCACGAGGGAGGTTAACAGCTATGATATTAAGATCCCATTGGTAAAAGTCAAATCCTTTCTTCACTAATAGGTGATCCATTCAAGCCGCCATCTTCATCTCTACCACCAGCGTCTAGACTCCAGGGGTTCCTGCCCTAATCCCTATCACTGCTCTGATTCCATTCAGCCAGGATGGACCATCAGAGTCCAACTGGCAAATACCTCAAACTGAATTCTGCACATCAATAAATCATGTTCAGTTCCGTTGATTGATCTCTCCTTATTGAAATAAAGCTGATGTGTTTTCTGAAACCCAGTCTGTAGAATATATTCTGGCATTTAAATTTAAAGCGTTTGAAATTATTTTGAAACACAGGAATAGGAACCTGTAAATGAAATGCCCTTTGTTTTGTTTGAAGTCGTTACGGCAGCATGAGAAGGCTCAACATCTTACTAAGGCCTTGATCACATGCCCAGACATC